TATATGCATGTGAATTATAATTTATATATTCATTTCTTTTCATGCATATATCCTTTTTGTTGTCATCATCAAAAAGAGGGAGATTGTTGGCCTTCTTGTTTTGATGATGATTTACAAACAATTTACATCTAATATTGTTTGTCTAGTGTTTGTCTTTTATATTTATTCTAGGCAAACAATATGTTGGAGGATGGATGGATTGTGTCATAACGATCATATCAAATGGAGGTTGACGGAATAGTGGAGTGAAGCCTTGCAATTCAAGTCAAGATCCAAGTTCAATCTTCATCCGCAAGATTACCAAGTCAAGCTATTGAAGTTCAAGATCAAGCTTGGGTAATTTAGTTTAGGAGTTTATATTATGTGTGTTAGTACTTTAAGCTCAATCATATGCACACATACACATTTTGGTTTTGTATATATATAGTTATATATATATATATACATATATGTTTTGGTTTGATATTTTTCAAGTTTTAATATGAAACAATTTAATATAATTAAAAAACATATTTTTGTTTCATACTTATATGCATATATATGATTTCATCAATCAATTTTATTTAGTTCAATGAAATCATGTTTTAGTACATTATATGTGTATTTTGATAAAAAACTACATTCATTATTTATAAACTTCATAACAATAGTTTACATCTTTTTTCAAGTCTATAAAATCATTTTGTAAAGTTTCAAAATATGGTCATAACAATAGTTTACATCTTTTTTCAAGTCTATAAAATCATTTTGTAAAGTTTCAAAATATGGTTTAGGTAAAATGTCAAAATTCATATGTTTACATTTCTATAAAATCATTTTGTAAAGTTTCAAAATATGGTTTAGGTAAAATGTCAAAATTCATATGTTTACATTTTTATGTTTTGAACCTCCTTACAAAATGATCATATTTTACATTTGGGAAGTACTTTTTGAAAACCAGTTTCTGTAGCATGTTTATTATCATGTCTACAATCATTTTCCAAAGTTTTACATTTTTCTGAATTTATTTGATATTTTAAACCATGTTTTATGTTGACATGTACTGTTTAAAACAGGCTGTGTGCATGTCATGAGTCGACTCATGAACAGTGTTGAGTCGACTCATAAACTATTGTGTAGTTTACATTTTGTTTCTGACGAGTCGACTCACAACATCATGAGTTGACCCATCAGGTTGAGTCGACTCATGACTGTCATAAGTCGACTCACATACTGTGCTGGAAAATGTGTTTTGTTTCTGCTGAGTCGACCCATGACCTTATGAGTCGACCCATGCATGATGAGTCGACTCATGGATTTTATGAGTTGACCCATAAGTTGTTTTTAGCCTGTAACGGCTAGTTATGAGTCGACTCAAGAACAGTGATGAGTCGACCCATTGAGTCGACCCATAACACTGTAACGGCTATATTTGTACAGAATCAGATTTCTGATTCTTGGGCTTTTTGGTCTTTTCCTTTGGGGTTTTTGGCTGAGGTTTTGGGTAGCTATACATACCCCCTTGCTCTCATCTTGTAAAACATCAAAGAAGTTTTTAAACAAAAGTTTAATAAGGGTTTAAGCTTGTTTAGTTTGTTTTAAGTTTAGGGTTTTTACAAAGAGGAGCTTACATCATTTGTTGAGGAGTTCATCTTCAATATTTCATCATCCTCTCTTTGTGTTTATAGAGAAGTTTTCTAACTCTTTTCTCTAGCAATTTTATTATTAATTTTCATATTCTTATTATTGCTAGTTTGCTATTTGAGTTAGATTTCATTTCACTCATTGTTTACACACACTCACTTGAGCTTATTGTATTTTCATATATAGTATAATTGGGGTTGTGAGAGTTTGTAACAATTGAGTGTGAGCTTTCATAGAGTTCTCATCCATATTAGAGAACAATCACTTATTGTAATCGTGCTTATTGTAAGATTCACTTTATAATACACTTGTACACCGAGAGAAGTATGTGACGAGAGTCGGGGATCGTCCCAAGAGGAGTGACGTCGGTTGACGAACCTAGGAAGAGGTTGTATCCGAGCACTTGAAGGAGACACGTCTAGTTCCAATACTTGAGAGGGTGTAGAGTGAGATTGCAAGAGTGCGTGAGTTGTAGAGTTTTCGGTAAACGAGAAAACCGTATTGTGAGGTGTAAACGTTATTCGAGTGAACGTAGAAAACCCGGTTGTGATAGTGGAGATCTCCTCAAGGTGAGGAGCGGAGACGTAGGTCGTGGGGACCGAACTCCGTAATCATATCGTTTGTTTGTGATTACATTGGCGCACTTATCTTTATATTCATATTTTATATCGTCTTTGTATATTGCTTGTTGATTATATTGCCCACTATCTAGTTTAGATTGTTTACCCTTGTGTTAATTATATATCCTTGCATATGTCCCATAGTATATCTCATTGCTAGGATATTTATCTTTGTTCATATTGCATATTCTTGTTCATAATTAGTTGTATATCTATCTTGTAAGAATTAGCATAAAATCGGATTAGATTAGCATAAGACCCTAATCACCCCCCTCTAGGGTCCAACAAATTATTAATCAAATTAATTATTTTAATTTAACAATCAAATCCCTATCTAACCAACTGTTCATAAAAGCTTTTCCATAATATGAGATTAATTATTCATAAATAATATCTTATATTTAGTTCCCTCCAGTATCATTTATTTTAGGTAACTTTTTTTAAGCAGGACAATTCACATATTTGTTCATGCCTAAATTACAATTCTCATTAACATAAATAAAACTTCTTTTGAAACGTCAAAATATTTTATTTTATAAGAAAATAAATTTTGAAAAATATTTTTCAAAACCACCTAGCATACTGGATCAGATCTATATATCCATCATTTTCCTAAATAAAATTTAGCAACCTAACATTTCAGGTTGTGTAGCACTTGCTAAATAAGCTTACACATCAAAGCATACTAAATTATCAAATCGAAACTAACAATATGGTAAAGTCAAAGGGATCATGTAATAATCTGAATTCTTCATCTCCTAAGTGACTTTTCCATTAGAATTCAAATATGTCTAGTGCTACACACATTATAATGTGTGCTTATGACATACACATGAAGAATGCCCATTCCCGGAGATTAAGACCTGTAGGATCTGAAATAGATACACTAGAACACTAGAGGGGGGTGAATAGTATTCTTTTAAAATTTATGCAAAGTAGATTATAAATTGCAAAGAAAAATGGCAATCTTAAAAATTTACAATCACAAATACAAAGTTTTATACTGGTTCCACCAACCCGATGTACATCCAGTCCCCAAGCAAATCCCGCTTGAGAGTTTCCACTATGATTTTGAATAAACTTACAAAATCAAAAACAAACCTGACCAATTTGTAAGTCCCTGCAAATTGCAACACAATTAACAAATACCTTGCCAGTTTGCACACCAATCTCTAAACAAAGAGATTAACACCTCTCACAAACCGAGAAAACTTCTTTGAAGCAACAACTCAATTCCTATAAGCATTGATTTGTAGTGTTGTGTAGTAGTGGCTTAGGAATGATTTTAACTTCTGTAAATTGCCTAAATAATAAATATTTGAATGATGATCAAAGGCAATTTCAGAAACTTTTCTTTTTCTCAAAATCTGAATGTTTTTACACTTAAAAAATGCACAAAGATCAAAGCTTATGGGTATATAAGTCTCTGTATTTTTTCTGAACAAATAACCTATTTATAGCCCTTGAAAAGATAATTATTTTGACTTTAAAAACGTTTAAAAACGGTTATAAACAGTCATTAATTCAAACTTTAAAATCTAAAAAAATTGTATTTGTAGTCGACTACAAGACATAATAGTCGACTACACTAAGTTTAAACAGACTCTGTGAAGTCAAAAAATTTCTCAGTAGTCGACTATAATATGCATTAGTCGACTAGTCATATGTTTTACAAAAACATGACTGAAAATTTTGTAGTCGACTATATTAAGCATTAGTCGACTAGTCATGTGTTTTACAAAACATGACTGAAACTTTTGTAGTCGACTATATTCAACATTAGTCGACTAGTTAGTCATGTGTTTTACAAAACATGACTGAAACTTTTGTAGTCGACTATATTCAACATTAGTCGACTAGTTATGTGTTTTACAGAAATATGACTGAAACTATTGTAGTCGACTATATTCAACATTAGTCGACTATATCTGAGTTTTACGGAAAAAATATAATGTATGAAATGTTTTGACACTCAAATATTAATTATAAAATCTAATGGTTAATATAGGGAATTTCTATAATTAACCAACACACTAAGCCTGTGTTAGTGTGTTCTAATATTTATGTGTGTGTGTGTGATTGATCAATGCTTGTACAATAATTCTAAGTAAAGAAAATATAAAATACATTATCCCATATGTTCTTCATCTTCTTCATTTCATAATGCCTTAAACTCAACTTGCATTTGTTCATATTTTGATATTGAAAGCTGCATATAAATGTTAGTGCAATTGTATAACACACATTGTATAAATTGTTATCATCAAAATAATATTATGGAGACTTGATATTCAACAAGACCCACCACCACATATGACATGTCGGTGTCATGCATAATAACATGTTATAACTAAGTTATCCTTTAATAGTTATAGGATAAGCACACGTTTAAGAAATCTTTAAGTTGGATTACATCTCGAAGTAAGTGACTATCATAGTGTATGATCTAACAAAATAAATTCTAAAAATACAAGAACAATTATAGAAGTAATACCCAAATTCCATGCGTAACAATTAAATCTATTAATATTACAAGAATATATATAATTTGTATTGGATGTTCAAGAGCATATTATTACTATAGCGGATACGAGCTAGGAAATGGTGCACTTTTCTCACTCAATCTATAAGCGCAAAAGGCACACCGCTATACAAATCATTGACTGTAGTATGAAGCCAAGATCTTCATCTGAGGTGATGAAAACAATTGCCGACGCCCGGAGCTCTCAAGTGTAATATACCAATGCCCTGTGTAAGTGAGACAATGTAAAATTTATAACATCAATATAATTGTTTACAATAAGTAACAGATGTAACAAGGAGCCGTAGATGTTGAACTAATCAATGACATTCAGAAAGTCTCTCGCATCCCCACACTAGAAATCACTAGGATTATCGTACAGATAACTCATTGATGAGATACAATATGCACCGAAGTGATCAGATATTTGATGTCCATAGTCCTCGTAAAACTTCATTCTGATTGTAGATGATACATAACTGATAAAGGGAAGAACCATGGCCTTTGTTCTTGAAGGAAACCATAACATTTAGCAAATATGTACAACGCAATTCCGAGGTGTCAACATTTTTTGCTGTACAAAGACGCTTGCCTCTCTGTTTATGCAAACAAAATCTGAGTACTTGAGGGAGTCAAGTCAGAAAACTCCTTTGGAGTAGCAACATCAGCATATTGCCATTCAACAAAGAATCTATCCTTCTTCTTTCCACTATCATCAGAACTGCCACCATCGAAATCTAACCTCGCAATGAATCCAATTGCAACATGGAGCCCTCGACCAACAACATACATCCTCCCCTCGCTCGCGCTCAGAGAAAATGGCTTGCGAATCCTCTCCGGCACACGCAAACCCATGACGAGATCCCAAGTATCAGTCTCCGTATCATAAACCTTAACCCTCATCCCCTCCCGTTCTGACACGACAAACATACGCCCGTGCACTACCGCGCTTGGACCTGTCCACCCTTCGCTCATCCCCACCGCCATATCCTCCCAAACATCGCCCTTCGGATCATAGACTTTACCGATGGGCGACGCCAAGAATGGCCACATCCAACCCTCGGTCACATAAAGCCTCCCATCAAGCACAATAGAGTCGTAACACACAATGTTCACCCCCATATTCGCAATGCTCTCCCATTTCCCCTTCTCTGGATCGAACATCTCTGCCGAGCTCAACTCAAATTGTTCGGTGCTATATCCACCTGCTACGTAAACCCTACCGTCAATCAACCCACTACCGAAGAAAGATCTCGGTGTCAACATCCTCGTCGACACGCTCCACTTGTTCCTAACAACTTCATATTTCAACACCAAAAACAAAGAGCAATCAAAATCCGAGACCAAACCACCGCATACAAGGATAGAGCCATTGACGGGGAGTGCAATGCACCCGAATCCATGAGGGCACACCTTATCCCTACATGGCATCGATGGAATCGAATGCCATGATAAGCTTACAAGGTCTAGAACTACCCATTGGATCTTCCCCGTGCACCGGTGAAATGCAAATGTGAAGAGCCAAGGATCCCGAAACCCTAAAATCTTTCGATGAGTCAAGAAGTGTTCTTTGTTCGAGAAGAACAGGCGCCAGAGTTTGCATACTGATCGACAACAAGGATGGGTGTCGATGGGGAGTCTTAAGAGGCAGTTTAGGGCGATATCGTCCGGGAGGCCAGGCATCAAAGGGCCTAATTCTAGTGAAGGGTTTGGTTCTGGGGAGGGTGAGTATGAGGATGCTAGGCTGAATTTTGGGGAGAGGGTCATTTGGGATTGTCCAAGCTTGTGGACTGGAGATTGATGGGATGAGACTCTAACACGCTGCATCATCAAATATAATTCTCAAATCCCAAGTAGAATCTCTTTAACAGGAAAACCCAAGTTCGGATTTTGAATTGTGCGGGGTTCTCTCCTTCTATTGCTTTACTAACCCCATAAATTTATCTCTTAGATTGATTTAAGTGGTAGGTTATAAGCAAATCTTCAAGCTGCAAGGACTTCACAAGAGATTGGATTTTGGGTCACCTTAACATCTGAAAATCCTAAGCAGAATCTCTCTAGCAAAGAAAACCCAAGTTCGGATTTTGATTTGGGCAGGGATTTATGCTTCTACTAATTCATCAGACCCATAAAGTTTAATTCCTAGGTTGATCACAATTTTGGGTTCAACGAAACAATTGACAACATGATGAGAGGGGAAAAAAATTATAGAAACTACATAATTGGCTACTAAATAACATAAAGGGTGATAAAATAAAAATCTTACTGAGCTCCAAGGATCTCAAAGTGATTTTGGGTCAGTTTGGCTTTGGCTTTTGAGGGAGGAGAAGAAGGCGATAACGATGAAAGTAAAGGGCGAATTTTTTGTTGTCGTCGTCTCGTTTGGACACACGCTGCTCTCTTTTGTGTGTGTTGTCCTTTTTCTTCCCGTGTTATTTCCTTTCAGTCCCTCATATATTTAGTATTTTGGTATGAAGGTCCAAAATCATTGGAATTTGCAATTAGGTCACCCAAACCTTTTTAACTGTTTAGAAATTATTCCCTTTAGTTAGATATAGGGAGAAATATTCTCTTAGCTTAAACTAATTTGAGCTAATTACTTCAAAATATTTATAGAGTTTGATGGACTAATTTCAAGATATAAAAATTTAAAGGACGAGTTTCAAAACACTTAATTAAGAGGTTTAAGGGACTAAATCATAATGCGAAAATTCGGGACACAAATTTTAAAATGTGAAAGATATGGGGGCGTTAACATGGCAGCTCTTTTTTTTAATAGGTTTTATCGATATTGTTGGATTGATATTTTGAAATTAGCCCTTAAATTATTAAAACTGCTATTAGTTTTTTGAATTTTCAGACTATTCTGAAGTTAGTCGCTCAAATAATTGAAATTATAAGGCTTAGTTCAGATATCAAATAAAAGGGTTTTTGGTCAACACTTCTTTGAGGCATTATAACATTAGTATTAAATATATTATAAATAGTAAATATAATATAATATAATTTTGTATAATGTATTATAGTATTATATAGTACTTTAATGTATTATGTTACATGATATTATTAAATATTATTTTCAAATAAAAATATATTTAATTATTTTGGTATATCAAATTTTTATTGCTATACATTATATAATATTTTTAAAATAATATTATTTATTATTTTAATAATATTATACTATTTTAATGTAATATAATATTATTATTAATATTATTTTATTACTTGTATATTACTAATAAATTAATATATTTTAAATAATTAAACAATATTTAATATGTTAGAATTTATTAATAA